ATTCCTGCTCCCTTCACGTGGGAACGTCCCTCCCCACCAGGCAACAGCCTCTGGAGTAGGCCATCCACCCGCCCCGCTAATCCCTGCCCACTGCCCACATCTATCTGCAAGCTTGCTGGCCCCAGTGGATCCCTCCGGCCTGGATTCCACGTGGCCACTGCCCCCTGGTGGCTGGAGCCATACATTACTGAGGATGAAGGGACAGTGTCAAGGCCAGGGCCTAGTCTCTAACCCACCAGAGCCCAGTCCAGACCACCCCCATCAATGTTCCCCCTTGCAGATGGCCTCCTCCTTGCTACATCCAACAGGCGCTTTTCACTCCTATGGGACTTGCCTTCTCTGCAGCACACGGTCACAACCATCTTTTAAAAATCCTCTTTACATCTAAGAAAGTTCACTCCTCTGGTTCTCCTGCTGTCTCGGCTGCTCTCCCAGAGTGAATCATCCCTACTCCAAATTGTCTTCTCTCTGCTGCTAACCCCATATTTGTCTCCAGCTTATCCCTCTCTCCTAAGCTTCAGACCAGATATCCAGCCACCTCCTGGAGGTCCCAAAGGCGCCTCAGAATCTAACCTGAAATGCCTCTTGCCCATCGTGCCCCCCCAACACACACACACACACACACACACACTTGAGATCCCTCCCCCCATAGTAGCAGCTCCATCCGATCTAGCAATGAAGTCAAGAAAAACGGCCCCCAGCCTGACAGCCTCTTCCTCACATTCATATCCAAATCGGGCTTGAAATCGAATTCAGTTCATTTCCCGCCTTAATATTAAGATGAAACGGTGGGGAGGGATAGATTGGGAGTTTGAGACTGACATGTACACACTGCTATATTTAAAATAGATAACCAACAAGGACCTACTGTATAGCACAGGGAACTCTGCTCAGCATTCTGTAATAACCTGAATGGGAAAAGAATTTGAAAAAGAATAGATACATGTATATGTATAGCTGAATCACTGTGCTGTACACCTGAAACTAACACAACATTGTTAATCAACTATACTCCAATATAAAATAAAAATTTTAAGATCAATAAATAAAATGTCGAAACCAACTGAAAAAAAACAATAAAATTATTTTTTTAAAAAGATGAACCATATGAAAATTACCAATCGTCAATCAGCTTTTTTTTTTTTTTTTTTTTTTTTTTTTTACAAAAGAGCAGTTTCAAAGAATTCAACCTAATATTCCTCAAATTCGTCTCCTCTTCTCTTCCTTGCCCCCGGTGTCCTGGTTCAGGCCTCCACACCTCCTGCTTGGCCCGATGCACCCGCTTCCTACCTGGCCTCCCAGTTTCCAGTCTGGCCACTGGGGTGATCGTTCCACAACATGCCTCTGATGAAGTCCCTGCTTCAAACTCTTTCAGGGCTCCCTGCTGCCAACAGGACAAAAGCCAAACCCCTTAGCCAGCTTTTCAGGCCCTTTGCAATATCTGGCTCCCCTCCCCCTCCAGTCCCTGCCCGCCATGCGTCTTATCCTCCGGCCACACCGGACCACCACTGCTTCCTTGAATCCGCCTCCTCTTACCTCCTGGCCTTGGTACATGCAGTTCCCTATAACTAGAATGTCCTTCCCACTCTTCTGCCCCTGGCTAACCTATTAGACTTCAAGAACCAGCTCCCAGAGGCAGGCAGGGGCGGGCATGTTTTGTGACCCCCGCCTCCCGGATCCCCTCTTCAGCCCAAATCCAGAGGAGGCGAGAAGGGGCGTAGATGGGTGAGGGAAGCGGGCAGGAGAGAGCCGGGGTCGGGAGGAGGACGGTCCCTTTGGGGGAGGGGCGCGTGTACCCGAGTGTTTATGCCTATGTGTGTGTGTGTGTGTGTGTGTGTGTGTGTGTGTGTCTGGGTCTGGTGCAGGCTGCACCTTTGCTGGTTGTCTCTGTGTACCTGCGAGCGTGTGCCTGTTTGTCCCGTGGAGTCAGCGCTCAGTTCTGTGCCTGCAAGGTGTACAGTTAAGCTGGAGATTGCCCAGGTTGGGGCCAAGTACCAGGAAGCTCAAGGCCCGGGCCTCCTGGTCGTCCTTTTTGCCCTGGCGCGTGCAAACCCGCCTGCCAACGTGACCTGGATCAACCAGGATGGGCCAGTGACTGTCAACGCCTCTGACTTCCTGGTGCTGGATGCCCAGAACTACCCCTGGCTCACCAAACACACCGTGCAGCTGCAGCTCCGCAGCCTGACACACAACCTCTCCGTGGTGGCCACCAACGATGTGGGTGTCACCAGCGCCTCGCTTCCGGCCACAGGCCCCTCCCGGCGCCCATCCCGGATCCCTAGTGACTCCAACAACCTGGAATTCAACAACATGCGTCTGCCGCGGGAGAACATGTCCCTCCCGTCCCACCTGCAGCTCAATGACCTCACTCCAGACTCCAGAGGGAAACCAGCGGACCAGCAGATGGCTCAGGACAACAGCCAGACAGAGCTTCTGGATCCAGAGCCCGGCGGCCTCCTCACCAGCCGAGGTTTCATCCGTCTCCCAATGCTGGGCTACATTTATCGGGTGTCCAGTGTGAGCACTGATGAGATCTGGCTCTGAGCTGAGGGCAAGACAGAGGGTGCCTTCTTGGCCCCTGGGCACCCTCCCGGTCCTCCTCCAAGGCCTGGCCACATTGCCAACGGGAAGAGGCCATGCCACTGCCACTTTTGCTTGTCCTCTGGGTCACTGGTATCCTTGGTAAGGCTGCCAGCTGGACCTAAGCCCTTGTTCCAACTCTGGTTGAGGGCCTGCATGATTGCCTGTGCCCAGGCGGATGGGATTCTCTGTCCAGGTGTGCCTGGTGGTCATCCAGCATCTAAGCATGGCATGGCCTGTCGGCTTGGGGCAGTTCTGTGCCCCACACCGGTACTCCTCAGCACCCGGGGCATGCCTGGTTGGGAGGGCCCTGCACGCCCTGGATCTCCTTCCCATGGTATGCAGCTTTGCTCCCTCAGGGAAAATTTAGGACCTTGCTAGCTGTAGAGAACCAGCCTGCCCTTTGCACAGGAACTCACCTCTGGCCCAGCAGCGCTGGCCAAGCACAAACCAGTACCCTTTGCTGCAGGCCTCTCTGCCCCAGCCCCCTCGTGGGCATCACAGGTTAGACACTGGACCTTCTCCACTTCTTCACGTGGCACTAGACTTCCCCTCCGGCCTGGGCCCTGGTGGTGCCAGCGCCTGGTGTTAGCACAACAAAGGGGAAGAATGGGAGTTGCGAAGTCTGGTGCGTCCAGGCCTGAATGTAGCTGTGCCTTGTTTTCTTAGTGTTAGCACTTTAAGCGCGTCTTCCGGGGAGGGGGTGAGCAAGGGCCCCAGGGCCCTGTCTGGGGCTTCCCCAAGTCTGGCCTTTTCATGATTCACTGTGAGTGCCCTGAGCCCTCGGGGTTGACGGGTTCCCGCTGAAAGTATCTACCCCGCTATGGGACACCAGCCCTGACTACCCCATCATCAGGACCCTGACTGCCCCATCAGCAGGAAGCTGTTCTTCCTGTTCTTTAGGGATGGCCATAGTGGCACATAACTTGACAGTGCTGGAAACCTCAGGGGGGATGTGGAAAAAGGAGGGAGATCACATCCCAAAACAACCCGAGAACACTTCTGAAAAGCAACGTGGAAAAGATTGCAAATTAACAGAGTGCAAAGTGTATTTTTCCCTTCTTGGTATCTTGTTTTGTAATTTTTCTCACGTTACTGCCAAGGACAGTGCTGAGCACATGGTAAATTCTCAATAAACTTGACTGAGTGAAAAAAAAAAAAAAAGAACCAGCTCCCATACCCTATGCTACTGTAAATCTCCAGTTTATACATTCATCCATTCCATACACAAGCTGAGGTACCTATATAAGTGTGACTTCCATGGAAGGTGCTAGGGATGCAAAGCAGGAGAGGATATAATTCCTGCTGTCAAGAGCTCAAATTCTCTTGAGTTTTCAAGGGGAAATCATTCTCCCGAAATTGCAGGGGCCATTAAACTCAGAGAGGACAGTATGAACAGAAAAAAACGGACACATGAGGAAGAGCAGGGTGTGTGCAGACAGGCGGGCGGGTTGCTAGAGCACAAGCTGTCAGAGAAAGATGCTGCCTGAGAGGCTGGATGGGTCCCAGTCATTAAGCATCTTTTGATCTCAGAGGCCATGGGAGTTTCATCAAGGGCAGTTTTGCATTTTTGAGTGGGGGCCAGAAAAATCAGGAAGCTGTTGCAATAGCCTAGGCAAGAGGTACTAAAAGCTAGTATTATGACGTTGGTATCAGGGACACAGAGGAGGGCACAGGCTGGAAAAACCTTGAGGAAAATCCAGTCAGCAAGGCTTTACATTTGGATATGAGGGTAAGGGAGAGAGTGGTATCAAGGGCACGCTCCTCAGTTGGATGCCAGGGTAGGTGGAGGTCCCATTTGCTGAGCTGGGAGAAAATAGGAGGTGGCACAGAACTTATTCAATGAAGTTCTTTTTTCATTGTTGTGTTTGTTTGTTTGTTTTTGGCTGCGCTATGAGGCTTGCAGGATCCTAGTTCCCCAACCAGGGACTGAACCTGGGCCCTCAGCAGTGAAAGTGAACAGTCCTAATCACTGGACTGCCAGGGAATTCCCCAGTGAAGTTTTTACAAAACTTTTCTTTTTAATATAAATTTATTTTTAATTTATTTTTGGCTGCGTTGGGTCTTTGTTGCTGCACGTGGGCTTTCTCTAGTTGCAGCGAGCGGGGGCTATACTTCATTGCGGAGCGCAGGCTTCTCATTGCAGTGGCTTCTCTCTGCAAAGCACGGGCTCTGTGCGCGGGCTTCAGCAGTTGTGGCACGCGGGCTCAGTAGTTGTGGCATGCAGGCTTAACTGCTCCACGGCGTGTGGGATCTTCCCAGACCAGGGCTCAAACCCGTGTCCCCTGCTTTGGCAGGCGGATTCTTAACCACTGCGCCACCAGGCAAGTCCCTTTATGGAACTTCTTATGTCTGCAGTGCTCATGGGACGTGCCCTGGTTCCAAGAGTTTATATTGGCTCTGCAGTCAATATTTGGACATATTTACGTGCAGTATCGTGGAGACAGTCTGCACGGAAGATTTGGGCATCATCAGCATACAGGTGACAGCTAAAATCATGAGGGTGGAGGACATCTCTCAGGAAGAATATGAAGAATGAGAGAGCTACGGGCCAAGGAGGGAGCACAGGGCAGGAGCCACACTTCAAAGGCAGGGCCGAGTAAGAGGAGCCCCTACAAGGACCAGAGAAGCTGTCAGGGAGGAAGGAGAACCATGAATGTGCTATGTTATGGAAGCCGAGGTAGGCAGCCCTTACGAGGCCCCCGGTGACCCTGCCTCCTGATACTCATGTGCTTGTGTGACCCCTTCCCCATGAATGTGGGCTGGACCTAGTGACTCACTTCTAATAAATAGAATATGGCAGAAGTGATGGGATGTCACTTCCAAGATTAGGTTATAAAAAGGACCACACTGGGAATTCCTTGGCAATCCAGTGGTTAGGACTCCATGCTCTCACTGCCGAGGGCCCAGGGATCAATCCCTGGTTGGGTAAGTAAGATCCTGCAAGCCCAAAAAAACCAAACCAAAACAAAAAACACCACAGCTTCCTTGCCTGTGTAGTACATGTCTTTCTTTTTCCCCATCTCTCCGGTCTCTCTTCTCTCTCTCTCTCTCTCTCCCTCTCTCTCTCTCTCTCTCTCTCTGTCTCCTGGATCACTCACCCTGGGGGAAACTAGGTCATGCTATCCATCCACACACACACACAACCCAAGCCTTCAGAAGACACCACAACCCCTCAGCTAGGCTGCTCATGGATTTCTGACCAGCAGAAACTATGAGATAATAAATGTTTGTTATTTTAAGATGTTAAGTCTTGGGTTGATTTGTTATGCAGAAGCCAAGGGAGGAAAGATTTTCAAAGGAGAGGCACTGGTCAATGGAGTTAAAAACTGCAGATAAAGACTGAAAAATGTCCTTGGATTTGGCAAGAGAAGGTCATTAACAAGCTCGGTGCAAATCGTTTCGGTGAGTTGAGGACTCAGATGGGAGATGAAGGCTGGGGCTGACTGACGAGCAGGAGTGCACGGTCATCTATTGTTTCTGCCTGCCCAGAATCCATTTCCCCACCGTCTATGACAGCTCCCTGATTTTTCTCTGAGTAACCACCCATGGCCTACCAGACACGTACGATTCCATGAGACTGTGTCCGCCAGGGTGCCCAGCTGTCCACAGGCCAAAGGGAGGTCACATGACTCAAACTGCACCAATCAGAAGCTCTCCCTGGAATTTGAATTGTGAGCTTACGTGACAGGACGCCTGAACCTGGCTGGAGCTGATTCACACAGCAGCCAGGGCCCTGAGGAAACCGCCATTCCTTCCTGCTCTCTCGATTCCCGCCCCTGCCCTGGCTCGTCTTTTCTGAAGCCAGGTTCTTCGGTCTTTCCTTCCACTGTGTGTGCCACCTTTATTTCCTTCTAATAAATTCCTTGCTTGCTTAAGTTAGCAAGTCAGTCTCTGTTGCTTGCAGCCAAAGAACCCTAACTCATACTTATTTTCAAGAATTTTGGGTGGGATGAGGAGAAAGACAAAGGGCAGGCACTAGAGGGGGCACAGAGTAAAGGGAGGTAGAGGTTTTTTGTTTTTGTTTTTGTTTTTTTATTTAGGCTGCACCGGGTCTTAGTTGCAGCACACAGGATCTTTAGTTGCAGTGTGTGGGATCTAGTTCCCCGACCAGGGATGGAACCCAGGGCTCCTGTACTGGGAGCCCAGAGCCTTACCCACTGGACCACCAGCAAAGTTCTTGTTAGTTGTTAAAGTGGTAGAAATTTGCATATATTTACAGGCTAAGAAGAAGGAGCGAGAAGGAAGCACTGTTGAAACAGAGAAGGGAAGAATGAAGGAGTAATATTCTGGGAGTCATAATGACAGGCGATGCATGGGTGGAGAGGCTGGACTAGAAGAGAGCCTGGAGAAGGGCAGTAAAGGTGGGTGTGAATTCCTATAGGTGTGTATAGGAAGCTGAAAGAAATGAATGACTGATTAGCCTTAGTTTTATTTGTTGAGACTGAAAGGGTAAGGTTGGGGGATGTTCATGGGAGCGTGGTGACGGACAGGGGGTTGACCAAGAAGTCGGAGTGGCACCTATATGTACCACTTTGCCACCATTCTCCTCTGAGCCAATCTCAGCCACCTCAACCAGGGTTAGGGATGTGCTGAGAGATGAGGCAGAGGCCAGGGGGTGCAGGAATCCAGAGCGCGCTGCTCATTTTCCATTTGCCCCTCCAGGTCCACCTCCACCCTTCTCTGCCCGTATGAACAGTACCATCCAGGCTCCCTTTTGCCCTCTGACTTCTAACTGGGTCATGCTGGATATTTCATCTCCTACTCCCAGCTCTGGATCAGTACCGTGGTTTGTTTGTTTGTTTCTTGGCCACGCCATGTGGCTTGCAGGATCTTAGTTCCCCAACTAGGGATCGAACCTGGGCCCCTAGCAGTGGAAGCACGGAATCCTAACCACTGGACCACCAAGGAATTCCCACTACCATGGTTTTTTGTCCCTTTTCTTTTTTGGCGGGGGGCGGGGG